ATTTTGTTTATTTATCTATCGATAGATATGTGGGTTGCTTCCAGTCTTCAGCTACTGTGAACAATGCTGCTGTGAACATGAGTGTACAAATATCTCTTTGAGACCCTGCTTTGAATTCCTTTTGGGTATCTCTCCAGAAGTGGGATTGCTGGATCATATGGCAGTTCTATTTTTAATTGTTTGAGGAACCTCCATGTTGTTTTCCATAGTGCCTGCACCAATGTACATTCCCACCAGCAGTGCACAAGGGTTCCAATTGCTCCGCCCTTTCATGAGTCTTTGTTGTTTTCTGGAATTTTTTTATAGTAACCATCATACATCCTTTTTCTAAATACATGCTGCCCCAAGGACAGTCTCTTCTATTCAGAAATGGGTTGTGCGAAATATAACAGACAATTAAATCCTAGCCTAAATCTCTTGGGGAAGAGCTGGCTGGCTCTCCAAACTCCTTAACTGCACTTGCTTCTACATTTGCTTTCTCTCATGATGAGTCTGCTAACGATTTTAGAAAGGGCTTAATTCATTCCATGTTAATAATTTCAAAATGTAGGTTTGGGGTAAATCATTTTTTTTTTCCAAAAAGGGTAAGGAGGAAACTCAAGCCACCTGCTACGAATTTGCAAACAAGATTACTCAGGCTCTTCTCTTGCTAAGGAATCATTTAGGATCATTCAAAAAAGCACTGGTATTGCTGGTTTGACTTGAGATAACCTGAATAGAAAAAGCTTGGAACCTAGTGCTTGGCACTCACCTTCCAAACTCTTTACAGCCAAGACTCAGACGCCTAAATGTCTCCCGGGCACATTTGCATCTCTGACAGCTTTACTCTCTGTGGGCACATTTCTTTGATTTGGAACATTCCTTTTTGGATTTTTGTTAGCTGTGCCTCAATCAGGAGGTCTGAGACTCTTAGCTAAGAGTGGGATAAGGAGCCAGACACCCATGGAATCTCAGCCAGCCAGTTCCCAGCCTATTAACTTTGAGCGAGGTCCTCGAACTCTCTGAGATCCAGTTTCCTCATCTGTGAAACAGGAGTAAGGCTGCCTGCTTCAGGCCTTCTGGGATGACTGAGGTAACGGATGTGCATATTTTCAGCGGGACATTGACATAACAGGCAGTTAAAAATGGATAACTCATTTATTCTGTACAGAAATAAAATTGGTTGATGGTCATTATCTGAAAATAAAAAAACCATGAATGTGCCTATTCTTTTTATTTATTTATTTATTTATTTATTTATCTTTGAGAGACAGAGTGCGTGAGCAGGGAGGGACAGAAATAGAGGGAGACAGAATCCCAAGCCGGGTCCACACAGCACAGAGTCCGACGTGGGGCTTGAACTCCCAAACCGTGGGGTCATGACCTGAGCTGAAATCAAGAGTCAGTACACTTAACCGACTGGGCCACCCAGGCAGCCTTCAATGTGCCTACTGTTTAAATGTGCTTTCTTAACTGTCCTTAAATTTTTTGAGAGCTCTCAACAATTGTACTGAATAGCTCGTATCTTCAAAGGGCTAAGCTTTATTTTTCAAAGATACGTATTTGTTCAGGAACTATCTATTAATATTTTTTTTGTAGAAGATGTCCATGTCTACTTCTGTAAAGTCTAGAGTAGATTTCTGTTACATTCTAAAACTTTTCTCTTAGTATAATGTTTGTGTATGTGTGTCTGTAGATTCATATGTGTATACACATATATACATAGACACATGCATATATTGTGTTTCCTCAATTCCTACCATGAAATTTATAAATGCCTTGCAGGTGTCAAAGTTTTAGCAAAGATTTCCAAAACTGTATTTTGATTTTTGACAGTCACAGAAACCCAATGCAGCAGCAGCAGAAGCAAGTGTTATTACCCTGGTTTCATAGATGAGGTTTCGAGAGGTATGTGACCTGCCCGAGACCTCAAAGCCAGTGAAGCAGTGGACCCCGACCTCAAACCCAGGCCTTCAGTTTCCAAATCCAATATTGTCTCCACCATATCTCACCAGCCCCCACAGGGGCACGTGGTGCAGGACTGGAGGCGAAATAAATGGAGACAACAGCAGAAATATAAGGCTTGAAAGCCTTTTTGGAATTTGGAGCCACTACGTATTAGCAAACAACTGAAATGTCATGCTCAAAGCCTAACAAAAATTTAGTAGCGTTGAGAATATTCAAATTGGTTCAGAATTTATAGGTATATTCTTTAGAACAAAGGAAAATGCACAGCATGTTCCAGATCTGTGCTTTTCTTATGTCCCAAGTACTAGATCCTTCTTTTCCTTTTTTTACAGACCAGATTTATAGCTTAAGTAGATTTCCTGAATGCTTTTTCGTATACATACTTTATATTTAAAAAATTAACATTTATACCCTATATATCTAATTCCTATGCTACTGACATTTAGAAAAGAATGTGATTCTCTTTGTATATGGCATTGTGGCTAAGAATGCGTAAATGAATGAAGAAATTAGTCTGTATCTATTTCCATGTGTCATACTTATTCTTCAAGCCTTGTTAAAACCTCTGCAGTGAGCCAAAAATGAAATTTCCATATTTTAAAACAATTGGCATTATATTTAAGGAGCAAGACCAATTCATAATTGTTTCCCCCACTGGAGAATTTATCATATGGATATACCACTCTTCACATCCCAACCATATATGTACACATATGAACACACAAAAACCATTTTGTGCATGGAAATTAAAATACCATTGCTTACATTAGTGAAATGCAGGAAACCTAAATTTTCAACAAAATTGAAATGGTTGAAGAAATTATAGTATATCGAACTTGATGGACTATGGGGCAACTGTTTATTATTTTGAACTTGTAACAATACGTATTGACTTTTTTTTTTTTTGCCACAGTAAAGAAAGAACATTATGCCTACACTCTCACTATAACTATAAAAAATGATATTTTGCATGCAAAGACTTAAAAGAAACATGGAAAAGTTAAAAGGTTTTTTTTTTTTTTCCATCTTGTGAATTAGTTAACAGTGTTTGTGTAATTAAAAACAAAATTTTAATTTTGAGCCTGAATGGCTCAGTCAGTTAAGCGTCTGACTTCGGCTCAGGTCATGATCTCACAGTCCTTGAGTTGGAGCCCCTCAACGGGCTCTGTGCTGACAGCTCAGAGCCTGGAGCCTGCTTCGGATACTGTGTCTCCTATTCTCTCTCTGCCCCTCCCCCACTCTGTGTGTGTGTGTGTGTGTGTGTGTGTGTGTGTGTCTCAAATAAAAATAAACTTAAAAAAATTAAAAAAAATAACAAAAATAAAATGGGTGCTGTGGACATGTAGTAAAACCAGGACCGTGTGGTGTCGCACATGAGCCCTGACTTTGCTCCACAAAGAGAAAGTTCGGAAGAATGAGTCAGCGATATCCCAATTCATGGTGGGTCAAGGTCTATTCCTACATCATCTCGAAACAATACACACATGCTCTACACTCCATGTATCTACCAGGGCATCAAGTCCCCAGATATCTTATCTTTAAATCATTCGATCCCTAGAGAAACTACAATTGCACAAGGAGGGAAAATATCACACAGTGGGAAAAATAACCATTTTTGTAAGTCTTTATTTTTTAGTTGCTCCTCCCATAGTAATGCACTGAAAGGCATAACAGTTTATATTGTACAAAGCATTTGAAGAAAGTACCTCAACTTGCCGATTATTTCAAAATGAGATTACAAACAAACAAACAAACAAAAAAAAAACAAATCTGGTTCTTCAATAAAGGGCAAAATAACTGAATACAGTCTGTTATTTACTTCTCTCTTTTAACATAAGGTCTGGAACACTTCATTTTACAAATAGGATTAACATGAACATAACATCGCACAAGCTTGCAGACGACCAGCATAAAATATGGGGTACAGTTTTTAATTAGAAGAATCATGCTTTCATGAAAGAAATTATAATCATTTATACAATTGAATCGATTTCAGTATTACAAAAACTAAGTTGCATCTATTCGTATTTAGCTCATTAAGAAGGAAAACAAAACAACGTCAAAAAAGGAATGTTAAGAAAAGCCAAACACCATTTGGCACTCCCACACACAGGTAGAGTCACCTTGGTCCTTGAAATGCAGAAAGGGGTGTGCCTCAGACGTCAGAAAGTAGTGGCTGACTGGAACAGTGCTGTTGTAATCAACAAACAATAGTTTGCCAACAAATAAATACATGGTACACGCAACACACACAAAATTAAACATTAAAAAACAGTGACATGATTGTCTAAAATTAAGATGTTATTACAAGGATTTGGCAAACATTTTATTAGTGTAGTGGTACAGCGGTACTGGTGATGAACAGGTTACTTCACTGACTGAACCTTTATGAGCGCTGAACATCCATAGTTTACAATATACACATACCCTTTTTCCCTAGTTTTAAACAATGTACTTAAGAAGGCAAACGTTAATGGGGAACAAGTACTCCCTGTTATCAGTTTCTATAATTATCAAGTGTGCATTTTATCCAACTACTTCTGTCTTCAAAGGGTTAAATTACATAAAACTTTAACAAAGAAAAAAATTAAATCTGTCATTGAAAGCAACTGTTCCCAATCATGTGTCAGGTGATCTTGTACAAAAAAGAATTCAGTTTCTATGGAGTGTTCATTCGTGCCAATGCCGCCATCCCCACAGCCCTCACACCCACCCACAGCCCAGGGCAGGGCAGACGAAGACGCCTTCTGCCCAGCAAGTTGCTCATTCTCACTGAATCACGTTAAGTCGCATTGACCTTCCAGAAGTCAGCAGCTGCCTTTGCTGTGCAAAACAAAATATCGAGAATAAATAGTTTCTTTTTTTTTCTTTCTTTCTTTTCCTTTCTTTTTCTTTCTTTCTTTTTTTAAGCATTCAGTTTAAGGTCACCAGACTTTAAATGAGTGACCCTTCAGGTTTCTAAGGCATTCTGCTCAGCAGTCTTTTAAATAGTCCTAGATGAAAGAGCCATGCTACTGTTGGACTTGGTCCCACTCTGGTCGACCTTGGTAATGTCATACGTGGCTTATGGACTGGATGGCACTGGATTCCGCAGCAGCCCTTGCCATACTGTGCCACACGTTGGAAGAACTGTGGGATGTAGAATGGAGGGACTCCTTGTCGGACAATGACAACATCATAGCATATGCCTGGGGTGAAGAGGAGAGACTTGGTAAGTGGCATTGGAAAACATCACTTTCAGTTTGAAGAATATTGCTGGTGAGTGTTAGCAGAAAAAGGGACCCGGAGTAGGAGCACCCCTCATGGTATGTTTGGAAAAGTGTGGGGCGGTTTGTTCCTGTAATGATGTGGTGTTACTGCTGGCCTTCAGTGCCCAGAGGCCACAAAAGTATCTGCTCTCCAGGACAAAAAAAGTGAATTATCCTGCCTAAAATGTCAACAACGCCTCCACTGAGAAACATGGGTCATCCCCCTGCCCAACCATAGATACGGTCATCCATCCACTCTTCATGCCCATGTTCAACGCACCAAAAATATTATTGTGTGTCTATGACCGAAACCACAAATATGAGCAGCGCATAGACCTGCCTTGACAGCACTGAGGTCTAGTAGAAGACACAGTCCTACCAACTCCTGCATTTTATAACTGAGAGCACTGAGATGACATGACTCGCCCCAAATCACTCAACTGGACCAGTCACTCAACTGAAGGAGGCATAACTACAATGGATTTCTGCCCAACTTTTAATCCAGTCCTTTGTCTGCTTTCCCTCCATGTTTGATATATTCAAAGCCGACACCCAAAGACCTTGAAAGCTAAGGTGGATCAAGCCAGCCCTACCACAACCTAAAACAAAACACAAGACCCAACAACATTCTAACCAACTGGTACTCCAGTGTCTACCGAGCATAAGGTGCATGGCAGTGTTCTGTGAAGAAGTGCTCTTTCTTCCTCATTATCATGTCAGTTCTAAATAACTGTTCAGAGAATCCCCCATTTGCTGCCAAGTAAAATATTCAAATGAAATGTTTGGTCTTGACTTGTGAGTGAACTTTTCACTGTTGATTTGCTATTGTTGGTCTCATCCATTGCTAAACTGGCTTGTCAAAATGCTGCTGAAGTGGAATCATTAATGTCCTGCCAAAGACATTCCACTGTCTGTAAACAAAGACAAAATGCCTCTGTTGTTAAGCAGAATTTCATCTCTGAGAGTCATGCTGAGACATGTGGCCAGTCTGTGGTTTCTTCCGTAATCATGGCAATCAGTTAGAAAATCTGCCCTCATAGGCTGATTCTCATTTGCTGGGTCATTGCTCTAAATGTACACATTTGACTTCTATGTATGCAATTTGCCTTCTAGACCTCTACAAAATCTCAACAGATATATAAGGAATATTTCCTAAGCATCTACTCTGTGCCAGGCACTGTGCTAGGTCCTAGGGAATCAATGATAAAAAATATATAGTCCTTGTCCTTAGAAGTGTTTAAAATATGAGTGAAGTGAGCATTGAACTTTATTTTTATAATATACCCACTTTTAGAGATCAACATAGAGAATACTCTGAAACGGTTTTAACAAAACTCATTCTAATATTTGGAAAAATGAAAGGGAACATACAGAAAATTTTGGACTTCTGGCTTCTAACCTGCCTCTCTTCAAATAGCTGTATGACCTTGGGCAAGTTGCTTAGCCTTTCAAGGTCACTTTCTTCATATCAAATGGGGATAATAATAATAAAAACTTGCCTCCAGGGGCTGCGAAGGAATTACAAGCACTACAGAACATAGAGTGCCTGAAATAAATAGTACCTATTATTATGAAATTAATCTTTAGGATAGGGTTTTTCAAAGAGGATTCTATGCAGAATGCAGCCACTGTCGTATTGGTCAACTCTCTTGGATTCAATCACTATCAAAATCACAGAGTAAATATATGAATGTTTTGAGTAAGTCATCTATCTCTATTCAGATTCTAGAAAATAATAAATATAGAATACTGTCTTTTATATAGAATATAGAATAAATATTGCCTTTTGGTAATCAAAGGAAATAAACTTTTTCATGCACAAAGATCAGTGCCCTGCACATACCTGCTAGTTAATAACAACAGAATGAATGAATAAAAAGTTTCATGAAATAATGTTAGTATGCAAAAGGGACTGACCCTTTTTAAACTGATATATATGACATGATCAAGTAATACAAAATTTATGAGTTAGGATTGCAAAACACTAATATATCTTGTGATGGTAAGTCTTAGTCCAATTGGGCAGGGACTTTATGTCAAAATGCTGGTACCAAAATATATCACCTCTTTTATCTCTAGATTCTCTGACCCTTCTGTTTTCAACCATTTCTGACTATTTCAGGAATTTTTAGGTATTGTGTCTTACAATTATACGTATTTTACGTGGAATAATTAAAAGAAATTTAAAAACAGAAAAGAGGGGCGCCTGGGTGGCGCAGTCGGTTAAGCGTCCGACTTCAGCCAGGTCACGATCTCGCGGTCCGTGAGTTCGAGCCCCGCGTCAGGCTCTGGGCTGATGGCTCGGAGCCTGGAGCCTGTTTCCGATTCTGTGTCTCCCTCTCTCTCTGCCCCTCCCCTGTTCATGCTCTGTCTCTCTCTGTCCCAAAAATAAATAAACGTTGAAAAAAAAAATTAAAAAAAAAACCAAACAACAGAAAAGAAAGCCTGGATCCCCCAGTATCTCTCTGATCAATTAGGAAGGAAGAATGGGATATCAAGTGTTTAAAAAAAATGCTAGCTACCTCTAATGGTTATCTGTAGGTAAAAATTAGATGTCTACTATGGCTGGTTTACTTCTAATGTTATAAATTAAAAAATATTTTTTTTATCTCCACTTAATCATAGAGCAGGAAGAGATCTTAGATACCTCCTCGATTCACCCACTTTCCAATGAGGAAGTGGTACCTGCAGTCATGAAGTGATGTTCTCAAGTTCACATAGCCAGCAACTCCAGTGCTGAGGTGAGGTGTTTTCATTGCCAACTCAAAAAGAACACGCTATCTTAGATTTTTGCCTAATTGACTAATATTTAAAAATTTATATCATCCCACAAGCACAGTGCTTTTCCCAACCTTAGTTGAGATATGACCACATTTGCTGCTAAGACCAGCCCAAACATCTCAGCTAAATAGGAAATCATTTCCAAACGTACAAGCCAATAGGGTCACATGGTTTGACACGTCAGGTTTTGATACCTCCAAAATGGGCTCGAGATCAGTTAGGCCAAAATAACCAACAAATGTGGTAGGAACAGGAAATTTCTTTTCTTTCTTTCTTTCTTTCTTTCTTTCTTTCTTTCTTTCTTTCTTTTTTAATTGACCTAAATGAAATGAACAACCTGGTTGAGTGTGGATGTCAGGCAGAAAATACTGACTTCCTTTATTTTGTGATTAAATAATGAAGGCTATTTTAATTGGTATTTATGCATCCTTAAATGGATTTATTTTAGTTACCACAGTCCTGATTCACTCAATAAAAATTAATAGGCTTTATTTCCAAATCTGCCAGTAAGTTGCTGCAGACTTTTGGCAACTCATTTAATCTCTGATCCTTAGTCTACTCTTAAATGCTATAATTAGATAACTTGTTAATTAACTACACATAGTAATGGACCAAAAAAAAATTGAAGGCAGGATTCACTTTCCAGAAGTCTGAAAATATAATTAGGTTGACAAAAACTACAGATTCAAGCCAATTAGAAAACAATTCTGAGGTAATATATAAACAGGTGCAAACATTATGAACTATCTATACAGAAGTAAGGGAACTGCCAAGTAAAAGAAAAATCACCATAGGACAAGATTTGCCACCGAAGTCTCTGTGTAGAGTGCAGCCATGTTAATTGGTTAACCATTTTGGATTTGGTCATTGAGGCAAGATGTGAACATTTTGAGTAAAGCCTCTGAACCTGTTCAGATTCTAGAATATTGCAAAGAGAGAAACTAGCTGCCTTTTGGCATCAAAGGCACAATGTCACCATGATGCTGTACTACACGAAAATATGTACCTGTGACTTAGACTTTCTGTGTAACGGCTGTTTAAGTTCCTCCGGCACATGGGAAGCACTAAAAGAAGACAGCTCAGCTTCAGTATATTGATTATCTTCCATTTTCCTCATTTTGAGGCTATCTGTGAAGTGCCTTATATGATCTAGAGCAGAAAGTCCAGTTTTATATTCTTCCTCTTTATACCTAAAATGAACCAATGGGAAAGCAAAGAGGGTTTTTTTTTCTGTTTCCGTTTGTTATCCAACCAAATCACTTTTCATCTGAATCTATACAGCTGTCAAACTTCATATTATATTTGCAGTATAAAGAAGCATGCATCCGTTATCAGGTTCTTCAAAGTGTTTACAAATATTGTACCTTAAAAACATATTTGTTTCAAGATTTTTCATAACTAAAGCACGTGTGTATAAGAGGTAAAGAGTTAAAGTCAATGATGTGAAATCAGCAGTGCAGTGGAGACACAATTTATAGGCTTATAATTTCCACTTAAAATAAAGCCAGTTATGATAATATTTAGTCAGCTCCCACTACCCAGACGAAAATATAATATTCCTAAAAATTTAACTATTCGGTTAATTTTTTTTCCACTGAAAAACCTACCTGTATAGAACACATATATATCAAATTAGGTGAAATGTATCTCAATCATAGTTGACTTATAACACACCGGATTTTTGAATGAATTAGATAATGTTGATATCTCCATTTTACTTGGTGTTTTACAGGTAGGGTCTAAATAAATGACTGGGTACTCGTTTAATTTTCATTTATACATCTATCTCAGGTTAGAGTTTCCCAAACAGCAATGTATTTGTAGTCTTGTGGATTATGTTGATGGCCACCTTATTTTCATCTAATCAAAATGAATACAACAAACATGCCTTGTTAACTCAGCTTTGCTCTTATGATTCATTACTCATAAACTGCTAGCACCTGAAATGTTGTCCTCATGGAAAAACAAAGCGGAAGGAATTGCTGCCATATATGCATCTGCTCTTGCTTATTTACTAACTCACCTCACTGGAGACGTTTTGCAACTCATCTCCAGGGCACTGGCTTCTTCATACTCATCCTCAGGATTTCCTTCATGTAAATTGCTTGTCACGGGTTCTTTTCCTGTTTTTCCAGTAATATCATTGTCTTCGTCCTCCTCATCTAACAACACCTCGTCTTCTACTTCTTCGTCATCCAGTAAATCTGAATTTTGACTGGTCACCAAAGCTTTCTCATCCTTAAAATGACTGCCGTTCATTCTTTCAAAAGCATAAAAAAAAGCAACGGGTTCAATTATTGGTTTCCTTTTTAAATGTGCAGCTAGCTTTCTTATCATGTCTTCCTAACTGTTTAGATTTCCAACACTTCCACAAGAAATTTTTATTGTTTATGCTTTATGGCAACCATGGGAAAATAATGTAATTTGCAAATGAGAAAATGAAGAAAAAAATAATTGGGTGATTATTCAGAGGATAAAGGAGCTTGTGGCAGAGCTGGAAAAACAATCTCAGATTCTTATTCCTTATCAGAGTGTTCCTGATAAATGATACTGTTATATATAATATAAAAAGCATACCAATGTTTGTTCTACAAAATGTCATCTAATTACCATAGAAGTGCCCACCAATTAAAATAATAGGTTTCTGGAAAATTCAGATCCCTGCAAAATAATGACCAATGCTTCAACATACATGCCTAAAATGAATATAAGGGTTCAAAGAAAATGCTAAGATAGCTGCCAGGAACCAACCGGTATTTGTTATTTCTAGGTGATATTTGTGGTACATGCCACTTAGACATCCTGCTCAAACTTGGAAATGATTGAGAGCTCACTTATTTGTACTGTTTTCAAATTATCCTTGAAGGTCTGAATGTAAAAAGTTCCTTGTTTCCCAGAAGAACTTTGGGGTAGGAAATTATCTAAAAATGTAATTATGCAAATATCTTTTGAAGCTTACTTAGTATGCATGTCTAATATGATACGAAAGAATAATATTATCTTTTAAAAGTCATTTGTAATACTTTAGTTTGTGGTTGCAAGGACTGTATTATGTGATTCAAAAGTTTAATTATAAAAAAGAGTTTAATTACATAGAAGTCCCAGTTGAATACATTTGAGAGCATTTATAAAACGAAGACAAACTTCTCAGGCTTTAAAATAAACATGAAGAATGTAAAAATTGAATTTAAGTTTCACTGTAATATTTACAAGGCAAAATTAGGGGTGCCTGGACTGAGTCAGTTAAGCAACGGACTTTGGCTCAGGTCATGATCTCAGGGTTTGTGAGTTCGAGCCCTGCGTTGGGCTCTGTGCTGACAGTTCAGAGCCTGGAGCCTGCTTCAGATTCCATGTCTCCCCCTCTCTCTGCCCCTCCCCCACTCACGCTCTGTCTCTTTCTTTCAAAAATAAATAAACATTAAAAAAAAATAAAATATAAATAAAAGTCAAACTTAACTTGGTTTCAAATTGATTACAGATGCTTTGAACTACAGAATATCTCTTCCTAACCTCCTCTTTTTAAAGATATATGACCAGGGAAGTTAAAACACTTCCCCAAATTCAGAAAGTTTGTTGAAATTTAAGTTATTGCTACAGAAATGTATGATTTTCACACTTAATGGAACGATTTTTCAGATCATGGGAGATTAGGTATCAGCAATGTATCCATCACATTCCCACGTAACAAAAAGGAGTATAATTTAATATTTAGATTTTCCAGGGTAAATAAATAAACAAAACAATGTTGGGTGTGACAGATATACATAGTAAAAATCTTAAAAACAGTCATATTACCATTGCTAACCTTTTTATACAGCCAATCTCTTAACCTCTTTTATCAAAGAATGATGAAAACATGTTTTGCACAGACATAAATTATTAGTTTCCAGACATACTGCCAACTTGCTTGCTTGAATGGATTGAAACTGTTATTTTTTAAAAATGAAAGAAAAAGTAAAAGAACCAAAGAATGCATGGATGAAAACCAAAAGTAACAAAGCCAACATGATTAAAAAAAACTATTTGTTAATTATGCTTTCAAATGTGGCAATTTATGGGGGATAAATGATTCATCAAAAGTAGCCCCGATAGGAGTGGAGGGGGGTTAAATGACTCAATCTTCTTACTTCTGTGCTGTTTGGACATGTTGAAACCAGATGTCGTAGCTCTATGCAGGCTCACAAATTTCCAAGTAAGGGCTAGAAAGTCTGAAAAGGCATCTCAGAACCCAAATGGTGGTTTCTGTTCAACATTTCTTTTTGTATCGTGTATATTTCATTATCAAAATGTAATTTGGTAACTCTCTTACCTACTTGTTCTTACTACTTTGTATTTCTGATCATCTGCCTCCTCTCCCTCCTTCCCTCCTCTCTCTCTCATACTCTCTGTCTCTCTTTTACACACACACACACACACACACACACACACACACACACAAATGGGCAAGCAGAGGGAAAGATATGTCCAACTGCACAAAGTCATAGCTCTCATCAGACTTCTTAGAAGCTGGGAAGGGTCATGTAATAGATCTTCTCTCCTTTTTCCATACACATGCTTTATACAAGTTGAAGAACAGAATTGGTCATATAATTTTGTTATCTTGGGAAATGATGTTTGTTTGAAGCTTACCTTAATGTAAAAACTACCTAAAATAATTATTTGACTCTTAACAGCATCAAAAAATAGAGGACACAAACAATAATACTTGTTGGATGAAAAGTAATAGAACTTCATTAACTAATTCCATGTGACGTTAAAATTGACTATGTAACATCCTAATCTAATAGGCTACTGGATAGTTATGTTCAGAAAAATCTAGCTCTCAATATCAGATACTTAACTATAACTTACAGAAAAGAAAAATTAAATCCTGGAGTTTTGGTAAAATAATGTTTCATTAACATCACATAAAATGTAAACACTAGATAAATGTTAATTATTATTATCAGCAGCATTAAAATTCTTCTTTTTGAATTAAGCCATACACACTTGACATTGATGATAACAAGAGGTAGCCAGGGCACCAGGTCACTGAAAACAAGGATGATCACACCCAGTGAAACAAACATACCGAAATTAAATGAATATTCATTCACCTGGGGGCATACAGGTAGTGAGAGAATCTTATCAAGAAGTCTCAACTTATTTCTATGTAAAAGCTATTTACATTATATTCAATGGGTGTTTTATATATAGATATGTACACATGTATACACACACACAAATGTATATACAGATATATATATATTACACATACTGATAGATACATATACATATATACACACTGATAGATATACTCACATATTATCTGTAATATACATATGATATATAATAGTAACCACTACTGAATCAACTGAATCCCTGTGGTGGCCTTCCCTTCTGCTTGGCAAGTTTTGGTAAAATATTCTAATTAGTTATCAAGAGAAGCAGGGCAGAATAGTGGTAAAAGCATGGGCTCTGGAACCAGAGAGCCCAGGCTGAGTCCCAGTTATGAATTACTTATGTGGCCTCTGGCAAGTTATCTCACCTTCAATATCTTCATTCTTTCACTGATAAAATTCCATAGTAATGGTTGCTACCTCATTGGGTTACCATGATAATTAAATTCATACATGTAAAATGATTAAAAGAGCATTTAGTATTTAACCTGCATTAATAAATGCCAGCCATCGGTGGTGCTCACCAAAGTGAGCACAGCAAATCTATTTGGAACGTATTGATTTTATAGAGTTTAAAAAGGAAAAGCCCCGCTTTACCTCTCCTCTGTGTTCCTGGGAGACTGGCTGCTGTGGTTGCTGTTCCCAATGAAATTGCGAATTTCTGTGAAGTAAGCATCTTCTTTGTCATCAAGAATCGCGCCTGTACTTTCCAGTTCGGAATGAGGCGACGATGTGGCCGTACCTGAGGGGAGAGAGCCTTTTGTCAAAAAGACTATTATCAACATGGCAACTTATTTTGAACCTTGTTTCTTCTTCATCTGATCAGTGTTTCCTAAAACAGGTTCTTTTGAATATTAATAATGGTAACATTAGGAGGCCAAAGTCTTCCCCAGTTACCACATACATGCCCATGAAAGTCCCCTGGAGAATATTTTGAACCACTGAAATCATGAGGTACAGTCTCCCAAAGGTGCTTCTCCCACAGTTTCCTCTCATTCCCACCGTGACATGAGAACATTGACATTCATATTATGAGGAAACAGGGTGAGGCAAATTATAAAGAGGCCTTAAATAGATTCTGCCCGAAGAAACTGTATACTCAGTCCTGGTTGCAATCAATATGTATTTATTGCTCCTGTGTTAAAGTACGTTACCAAAGAAAGACTGAAAACATGCTAAAAACTCTATATTCTGATTTAGTGGATGAAGCAGTGAGTAAAACTTGACACGCCAGCCCAGAGACTGAGGTGATACAGCATTAAGGGGACAATAAGGGATCTGCTGTATGTAGGATGATCTTCAGCTTCCTTACCTATAAAATTAGAATCACAATACCTTAACAAAGGATGGTTGTAAGGTTTTTATCAACTTACACATTTATGAACACCTTATATGTGGCCCAATTTCTACCAACATTTGCTTCATGCTGTTTAAATTTTTTTTTTTTTCAACGTTTATTTATTTTTTTGGGACAGAGAGAGACAGAGCATGAACGGGGGAGGGGCAGAGAGAGAGGGAGACACAGAATCGGAAATAGGCTCCAGGCTCTGAGCCATCAGCCCAGAGCCTGACGCGGGGCTCGAACTCACAGACCGCGAGATCGTGACCTGGCTGAAGTCGGACGCTTAACCGACTGCGCCACCCAGGCGCCCCCGCTTCATGCTGTTTAGCTTTCGCACAAGATATCTACAACCCAGTAGTTCACCATAATAGTCTACACATTCACGATAAGAGGTGAGACCATCTCTCAGTTGAATAAAGTTAGAATCTGGGCCCGCAAATAAATATTGAACTTGGACATGTTACATTTTTAACTCATTTGGTTATTTTCTAAAATACTTTTGATGAGAAAATTATGGGCGTATTCTGGAAGGGTGCATGTGGTTGGAAAGTGCCACCAGTTTTCTACACTGAATTAGACTTTTGTCTCTAAAAATCCAGTATCTTTAGACCACAATCATTTGACTTTTGGCTTAGAGGAAAGCACACAGCATATAGTTCTATGTAGTAGCCACCAAATATCGTAAGCAATGTGCCTGTACCGGGAAGGAAGGATTAATCATAAAACAATTTTCTTAGGTAAAGATTACTACTTTGAACAACTTCAACTTCTTTGTTTTTAAAATCTTTTCTTCTGAACCCCATGCTTGCTCCTTTCCTTGCCCCAAGTAATTTTCCTGATTCTCTAGAAACTATCATTTTCCCTGGCAAGTCTGAGTTAAGGGAAGGCTAATTTTTTGATACTTTTAACTTAATTCTACATCAGAATTTGTAACCCAAACTGCACACCACTATCATTTGCTATGGGTTACTCTGATCATGTTAACAATCTTTTACCATTAATCCCTACAAAGTTACTCTAGGGATATTCTCTGAACTGTAGAACTCCTACAAAAGCAGCCACTGTTTCTCAGTTAATACTCAGAGCATGGTATTCTGGGATGCCACTTTGGAAATCCTGCCATGCCTGGAGTCCGCATTCTGTACAACAGGTGGAAAACTGCTCCCTGCAATTTAGGAAATCTTGATTCATTCATCTCCTATGAGATTGGGTCACGGTTCTCTTTGTTTGCAATTAACGATTGAGACGAACCCAGAATAAAAAAACCAGTCCAAAAAAGACCCCAAGTTACAGATAATTCAACAATCACATCATTCACATCATTCTATAATCTCAAGGGAAATATGTTGCAAATTTTAGGATCTGGTTCGGGTGTCAAAGTGGAAGGAGAGAAGAAAGATCACAATTATCTCTCTTTTTTTAAAGTATAGTGGACATACAATATTATTCACAATTATCTTTTAAAATGAGGAAATTAAGCCATCCTCTCCTCATAGCACAATTGATTACCTACCCGACATGTTCCCATTCTCATGTTTCTTTAGGTGTCTGTCTAAGTTGGTTTGTTGACCAAAACACCTATCACATAAGTGACACTTAAAGGGCTTCTCCTTATTGTGGATGTTACGAACATGCCTTTGCAAGTTGGAAGAGATGCTAAATGATCTGTCACAGTATTTGCATCTGAAAAATAAACACAGAGAAAATATTCACAACTAAATCGAAAGGTATTTCTCAAGACTAGAAAGCCAGATATCCAACGTTACCACCCATAAAACATTTTAGAGAAAAGGCACAGGCAAGAATCCTATTCACAGAGTCAAGATTTCAATTCCCATAGATTTTGATTCCTTTAAAGATTTTCATGACTTTATGAAAAACCATAAAAACAATAATAAAATATTGGTGATTTGATTGCTCCAAAATGGATTAGGGTCATCAGTTTTCATATTTTAGATAAACCTCATGAAATTAAGGACATTAAGAAACAGTAGCATTATTTTATCTTCTGCTTAGAACAATACAAATAAATCCTTCCTAAACAAACATGAAACAATTCACGTAGTCTTCAAATAAAATACAAAAAGCATTCTTAAATTCAAAATTGCAGAGTCTGGTTAAATAGTTTCTTAGTAAATTCACTTTTTAAATGGATAATCCTAAAGGAATTTCCATTATATTCTCGAAAAGAGCAGCAACCCTTCCAAAGTTTTAAAACTGAGGCAATGTGAATAGCTTGTTCTGATACTAAAGACACTGATTTTCATAATCTGCAGCAATGACAAACCCACAGAGCCTTTACTCTAATAGACTTCAATCCGTTAAAAAAAGAAAATAAGAGTGGCACTAAATTCTCCTTTTGGAACAAAACAAAGGTCTTCATTAATCTCCGTTCTTCCTATTGCCCCCAGTTTTCCATTTCTATTTTTCTGAAAGAGTCTGTGGCATTTCTGAACCAGGTCAGTTTTCCAAGAAAGCACTTACTATTAGTTGGCTAATTGTTTTTGCCTTCCATGGGATTAAAAAAAAAAAATCATAAATTATTTTGAAGTTCTCTTTTAATCTAAATAAAAATGTAATGCCTCCCCCTCCCCACCCTCAACCCCCTAGCTCTTATGGATAAAGAAGAAAAGCGGCAATTTATGGGGTATTCTCCTTTGGCATTTTAAAGTAAATATTGCATGATTTGTTTGTGTGGGGTTTTGTGGGTGTGTGTGTTGCTTGGGGGAAAAAATTAGCTTTCTCCAGATGACTTCTAAGTGAAAATTTCTAACTTAGCAGCCAGAAAATCTTTAACTTATTCTTCCATATGCGAAGGGCCCTTGTTCTCCCACTTCTAAATGTAGACTCAGTGGTTCGAGTGCTCTACATCAGAAATCACCCCATTCCACTCGAAGTGTTTGGGTTTCCTCGGCTGTCTCTACGTGAGATGCCAGAAGTCTAGTCAGTTCAGTGAGGAAAATAAATCTGTTAAACTAGTTACTTTGGCATAGTATCAATAAACCAGCTCAACGACTGATTTAATTTTCCCCCTTAAACGCCCTGGCATGATGAGGTTCCCCAACTTTCTTCACTTATAATATTAATTTAAAAGTGTGTGAAACCCCACATTCAGTGTAGTTATAATATTTTAGCCTCTGCTTTTGAATATATATATATATATATATATATATATATACACACACATATATATATATATATATATATATATATATATATATATATATGAGTCATGGGCTTCTCTGTAATAACTCTGTTGACTCCCAAAGCCCACTACAATGAGAATAATGATACAATAAGCACAACTGTGTTGTACCAAACAGAATAACCTAGAAAACACCGCTAGAGAAAACTTATACTCCCATCAAATGCTCTAAAATTTTTTCACTCAAAACATTTTCTTCATACATCATGAGTTGGACAGATTTTGTCTTTGACATGCTTCCAACTTTCTGCTCGTATGCAAAGGGGCTTTTCCAAATCTAATACACATCACCCATTCTAATATAAATAAAATCAGCCAATAAGAAAATTTTACACAGTAATCATCTGTTACTTTGTATTTTTCCTCTGCTAACGTCCTAGCCAAAGGTTTGAGTGCTCCTGACTAAAAAATCATTCCATTCTGCTCCAATAAATTAGTAGGTGGTTAAGAGTCTAAGTTTCAAAAATTCCTAAAATGAATACATAACGCAGTCATGAACAATACACAATTCAGAATTTGGATGTAAACATGGGGATCATGGGAGCCTTTGAGATCACGGTGTAAGATAAAAACTCTGACATGGGAGCTCCATGACTGGGTTTTAATTCTGGATCTTTGAGTACCAGACTTTACAGAAGGCAGTTAACATCTATGCATCTGCATTTCTTCCCTTGTGGAACAGAGGAGCTACATAAGTAATTGCTTATGATCTCCAGCTATGCAAAAATTCTGGCTTGTTTTCTTTTAAATATACATACAATAATAGCACCATTTATGGGGAATAAAACCAGTAATTCAGGTACAAAGAAAGAGTAAAATGGGCATGATACAGTTGCACACCAGATCCCTGGCCATAACAAAATGTAAGTGTTGAAATCTTTCTTCCACTCAAGCGGAATTCCTGGAGTCTGAAAAAATTTTCTCAAAAAGGGAAATCACCCAACACCTGCCATTTTTCTACCTCTCTGAAACTTTTTATTTTAAGTCCATTCTATCACCTATAAATTAGAAATATCATATAAAGGCCACTGTGTCACATATAAAGTAGAAATATGACTTGCCAATAGTAATTTTTAAAGCATGTAAGACAGCAAAGAATTTAAGAAAACACTTTATTTTCTGAATTTAAGTCTCTCTAGTTTTCTCTTAAAATTTCAATCCTCTCCACATTAGCATTCACTGGCCTGATCCTTTGCTTATTCTTATATGTAAAAAAGTCTTTGGGGGCCTGAGTGGCTCAGTCGGTTAAGCATCTGACTTCAGCTCAGGTGGTGATCTCACAGTTCATGCATTTGAGCCCTGCATCAGGCTCTGTGCGGACAGCTCGGAGCCTGGAGCTTGCTTCAGATTCTGTGTCTCCCTCTCTCTCTGCCCTCCCCAACTGATATGCTCTCTCTCTCTCTCAAAAATGAATAAACATTAAAAAAAATTTTTAAATCTTTGAAACCTGAGAAATTATTTATTTTAACGTGAAAAGTGAGCATGCAGACAAAAATAATTTCACACATATGCAATGCATAAGAATTTCAAAGCAGAATCAAATTACAATATGACTTAAGATAAATAACATTTATCCTTTAACAAATATTCATGAGCATCTAACACTAGGCGCAAAGCATTGCACATAAAACAAGTAGATCATATCGTAAAAAGGAAGATGATGTTGATGATTTTAATTCTTTGGTAAATAATAATATTATAATTAGACACATGTCCCATGTGTCAGATCGCTGATGTTGACATTCAGCAGAATAAGCTAAGAGGTAGTTTAGAAATTGTTGGTAGAATTGCCCCTCTTCCTACAATATATTCTATTTGATCTTTTCTACTCTTAGTTCCACATCTTCTTCTTCCTCTCCAGGTTTAAAGTTTATTCCTTAAACCTCGTAATGGGACCGGGGGACACTGACTTAACTGTACTGGGGAAACAAAGTTATACATGGCTTGTCAAGTCAGAGCAGAGATTTAAGGCTTGAAAAGGGAGGCTGCAATGTTATGATTACTGTCAGTTAATACAGCACTAACTATTGAGAAGAGAGCACTAAAATAAATTTTTAAATAATTGTTAAAATGGCTAACATTTCTAAAATGCTTATTCTGTCCTACTTACTGCTAGACCTTTTAAACTGAGATGTCGGAAGCCTTGATTTAAAACATTAGGACTCTTCCAATTTTTATCCTAACCACTCGCCAATTCTTCTTTGACTCAAAACTAAAAGGGCATACATTCAGGCATGCAAAAAAGTAGCCTCCAATTAGAGGGATGAATCCACTCTAACTGTTATAATATTTACGAAGATATTTAGTAAAAATCATTGTCAAACCTGTAAGGCTGCTCTCCTGTGTGGGTTCTCAGGTGCCGTGTCAAGTTCGCAGACCTTGGAAAAATCTTGCCACAGTATCTGTTATGAAACGTGTTTATAAGAGAAAGTCAGCACGATCGACTTTATTTCACTCAAGCTGCATAGAAGCCAGATGCGTATTCCTGATTTAATTAATCTTGCATGGGAATCACATGTCTTTGGTATTTAAAATTTGCAACAAAGCCATTCTACAGATATAAATAACTCCACAAATAAAGGCTGCATTATGAGATCTGGTTGAATTTGCTCATGCATAAGCAAGCAGTTTATGAAAATAGACTTTAGTTTTGACGACCCCCATACGCCTCTTTTATTAACTCTATATCTTTATAGTCACAAAACTGAACCAGACAAGGGGATAAAAAAATGACAAGAGTCTGTGATTCTGGGTTGATGTAAACAGATTTCAAATGTTTCAACTCATTTTATATGTTAGCCACAGTGACAACTCTGTACATTGAGTGGTATCAGATCAGACAAGATTCTAAGACCTCATCCATCAAGGTATGGTCCTATAAAAGCTTTTCTGGAAAGAAAGTGACACATTTTCCAAAGAGCAGATAAATTGATATGCCTGAGTCAGATGTCACAAATTTCTGAAGGCAATTCAGAAATTATATGCACAATTTATTAAAGAAAAAACAAGCTTTGCTGTAATAGTGATGGGTAACAAGAAACTTATTAACTAGCTTTCTTCACTTATCGACCTTATTCGTCCTTTGTTAATGGCCTTATTCTTCAATGCCATGACAATTAATAAATGTATGCTTGAAGACAGTAGTATTATACGTTTGCATGAAAATAATTAACTATGAAAGAAAATTCATAAATATCAAAGTGAAACAAGTATTTGGACTGTTTCCAACCTCATTTATCACACCCAAATGGCCTGTGTTAAAATTCTCATTTAATAATAATTTTTTTAAACCACCACTTTTATATCTCCCTAAATAAAGAGTACTTTGAAGTACTTGAGATCTATCATGGTCACTCTTAATCATCCAGTCACGAATAATTTCCCAAACAAATGGCGGGGTCTTTTGAAATCAGAGGGGAGACGTTTGGAAAGTCAGCCACAATTGTCTTAGCAGTTACCTGCAGGTGTAGCGTTCTTTTCCTTTCCGCAGGAGGTTCTCTGGCAGGGCATTGGGAGGCGCTCTGAAATTGAACATGGAGGGAACTGACTGCAGAAGTTCACTGGCCTCTGGTTTCAGGGCACTGAAGTTCTCGAGCTTCTCTGCCATGTTTTCAATAGCTGACATCTGCAAGGCAAGAGCATAAGACCGTGAAGGACTAGTCTGACATCTTTTCTTCTGTAATCATCTCTAGCAAATCAAGAAATCATTAATAAAAGGGAGGCATCAAATCTGCTGAAGGCAGTAGACTGTAGAAAAAGGTTGTAGTGGCCCAATATTAGACAAACAACAAGAGGACTCGTGGATTTAGGAAATAACTAAGGTAGAATCATGCTTATACAATGCTCGGTGAACTTTTTCATAAGACCATAGTTAGGCCACTTTATGACCATTTGATATACAATTGAGCAATGAAACACATGAGCAATAATAAAGCCAAATTAGATGTTTATTACGTTAAGAGACAGCATTAGTATTGTGTTATGGATATCAACAGTAAAGTGGAAATTATAGGGAAAGGTCCTGCACGCCTTGCCTAGGTAATAAAAACCATAGGAAGCATGGCATTCCATGAAGAGAATTCACAGCATGGAAAACATCAAGTGTTCCAAAGTTACAGTTTAAGCCAGATGGGTGTACTGCAGAAAAAAAAAAAAGAAATGTGTAAGAGGTGTTTTGCCTATGACTATGTTAACTTAATATCTGGATATACCAGATTTTTAAGTGTGATCATATACAAAGAATTTTGACGAAATATTAACTTGTTCTGGATTAAGATCAAGTTGAAATGACAGTTCATGATAGATCATGTCGTATAACTTGGCATGGGCATTAATAAGGGGAGTAGTTAGCGTAACCTCACTCTTAGAGAAATAATCTTGAAGAGCTACCCTGCCTAATTCTTCCCCTCAAGCATCTTAACTTCTTTGCCTTATAATCCTCAAGTTTTTGTCCACTTGCATATGTAGTTGACAGTCACAATCAGAGGGTGGCATTTACTTTGATCCTTACTGTCCTTGGTTACAAGGACTCGCCCCTTTCCTTCAACTCTCCCCAAATGTTAAGTTTCCTTAGGGCTCATATTTTATTTGGAAGCTGCTTACTACTGAATTTTTAAGTAGAAAAGCAAACTCTCAGGCCATCCTGTTAAATCAACTCACCCATTATTTATTTGGTTCTCAGGCACTATGCCACCAGAGAGCTTGGAAAGCTGTTAAAAAGGTGTTTGCACTCTATATGCACTCTGTGTGTTTCTCAAAGAGCTGGGGTGTTAGACCAGGAGACTCCACACAAGGATAAAAATGGCAACAACCGCACATTCCAACAACTGTTCAATCCGAGAGGATGATTCTTTCCCTGATGAAATGGCAGGACACAACTGAAGGCCTAATTTATGAGCTCAGGTTCGAAAGAAAAGGTATCACTTCCTACTCAAAAGGAAAATTAACAAAATATGTATTCCATGGCTGGGCAGCTGGATGGAATACCACTGGCTCCTTACGGAGAAGCAACCTCTTAACAGAATGGCCTGACCATGATGCTCTTCTTACAAAGAATATAGTGCACGCCTGATTCTTCAAATGACTATTCACGTTGTAGTTAGCTCTCTTTTTTCCCTTTATCCTGGAGTCTGCCCTCTCATTTCATGCCCGGACTCCTAATGCTAGCTACAAATTGCAACGTACAGGGTACCACTGCCAATTTGCCAAATGTCTTTCATCAAACATGGTGCAAAAAATCTCAGAGGAAAGTCAAGATACATTTACTTGTCAGACGACAAATGTGAACGCGTTGGGAGGCGGTAGGGGCTATAAGCTCAGGGGTTTGATTCATAATCACTCAGCTGCTAAAACATTCTCCACAGATGCAAGTGGACAGCACATTTGTCACTATGAAGGATTTTGACACATACTGATCACAGGGCAGAGATATGGAATTGATGCCGCTGCTCAGAGAGGTTGGCGGAAATTCTGTCCCTACAGAATACGGTCATTATCCTCCTCCAGCCAGGGCATTAGCATTTTTGTCTTGCGTGGGGTTTTCCTTCTTAAAAATCAATCCAGAAATATTTTATGACACGATTTTATTTGCATTTATTCCTTCTAATTGTGTCTTGCAGAGAATCATTTGGAGATTCCACCCTCCACGGAATAAACTGTCTGAGTGAAAAATGACCTCTGGCCTTCAAGCTGATTAGCAGAAACAAGCAAGGGTAAGGGTCATGATCGCATATATTTACTGGGAAGAATAGCAAGTGCATGGGTGATGATTATTAATGTTTTATTTATGTACATTTAATATTGGAGTAAAGTTTCATTATCTAGTGGTTTTAAATCATTCGAGTGTCCGCCCCGCTGACACTGAGATTCCTGTGGCGATGTATCTTCTAGAAACACTTTTCCTTTTATATGGAAAATAGTTTACTCATGACTATTATTCTCGGCTTTCATCTATAGCACATATAAACTACAAGCCCTTCAACTTATTTAAGAGCAATTGGCTGTTGAGAAATGTGTCTTGCTTTAGTAGCAGCAAATATCTCTTTTTGAAGAAAGATCATTGCGATTACATTACTTCAAACTATTTCAATTCGGGGAAACTATCAAGAAACAAGAAAATACACTATGGGCTTGATGACTAAACACTGGCATTCTTAAAGATAATAAGAAAAAGAATAGGGGTGACCCGAACGCTTCTCTTGAAAAGCCACCCCCACCTTTGTTTTCTGGTGTCAAATGAAAAGAAGATTGAACTGGAGTGGAGAAAAGGGAGAGAAGGAAGATGGAAAGTCAACTGAGGGTACTTATTGACACCACACACACACACACACACACACACACACACACACCACTTTCTGTCCAGCTAGCAAACACTCCCACTAAAAGCCACCATGAATCCTTCCTTTCATCTTCATGAGATTTGCTCTTATTGCACTTGACCTCAGTTGAAAAGAAGACGTTTCCCCAATAGGACAAATAGAAGTGACTGAGATATCTGCCAGTTGGGTAGTTTAGCAATTCTGTGACCAACATCAGTCTGCCTATATCTTGGATTAAGGTGCTGGATTAAGATGAGCTAAGGGGCGTCTGGGTGGCTCAGTCAGTTAAGCGGCCGGCTTCGGCTCAGGTCATGATCTCACAGTTCGTGAGTTCAAGCCCAGCGTCGGGCTCTGTGCTGACAGGTCAGAGCCTGGAGCCTGCTTCAGATTCTGTGTCCCCGCTCTCTCTCTGCACCTCCCCTGCTAGTGCTCTGTCTCTGTCTCTTAAAAATAAACATTAAAAAACAAAAGTAAAAAAAAAAAAAAAAAAGATGAGCTTCATCTAGTGTACAGGTCAAAACTCTAACTTTTTCACTCTGTAAGCTGACTCATGTGATGCTCCTCCTGAAATAACATGCATTTTACAAGAGAAGTAATATGTTTTGACATTCATTTGAAAGTTTGGTTTGGTATTTTAGAAGTGAAGGTGAATTGGGATAAATGGAACAGAATCTCGCTACATTTATATTTCAATTATGAACAATCCAACGAAGACGGCAATGTGTACTACTATAAAAAAGAAATTTGCTGAGAATGGGGAAAATAAAGGAAGAAAAGTTAGATCATATATTTTCGAAATGCATTTCCCTGTGTCCTATTAATGTCATACGCTAATCTCTAATCAGTAAATGACAGGGCTTTTTTTTTCCTATGGAACAGTAATTTTTATTTATATATACAATAGTTGTTGATGGTATCTGCAGCCAGATGTCTGGAAAAGGAAGTCATTGCACCCCCTTTCAGTCCCCAAGAGACTATTAACTTTATATTGACGCAAACTAATATTTAGACACAATTCCCTAGATCCTACCAAAAAATGTAGTTATCTCTCTAGTCAAATAAAGTTAGTATTTTTAAAAACATTTCAGCAGGCAAGATATCATCAACTGGGTCCTAAGCACTTAGCCTAACATTTATTATCTGGCAGCCAACAATTGATGACATAAAGAAGTTTCTCATTAAAACCATTAAAGTGACAACCTGATGATATGAAATGATATGTCCAATGGCACCATGAATTATGTGACTTAATGTTTTACAAATTAGATTACACATGTCTTTATCATAAAACAACTAACTTTTCATAAATAACTTATGATGGGAAAGTTTGTAGATTTGGGAGTTTTCTATATTTATTCCCTTTATAATCTTAAGAAATCTCAAAATTGTGGCCATTTGGGGGAAATGTTAAGTATTCACATTTTACAATTATCTCACTCCATGTATCACATTCAGCAGTCATGATTATGAAACCCCTTAGAATTTGTTTACCACTCAGAATGATATACTTTAATATTTTAGTAGTTCCTACTAATATCTATGTTTTATAATAAGACTATAAATCATGGCTCTGAAAACCCTATGATTCAGGGAATGGATGTGTTTCCAAAGCACTGAAATGGCAGTTGCTACCATTGCATCACCAGGAAAGGGGGTCTAACTTAAAATCTGGATTGGCTTTGTATAATTGGTAGAACCATTGGGCGTGCTATGTAGGAGATAGCATATGACAAATAAAGCAGCCAATGACATAGATATTGTCAAGTAATATGCCACCTTATAAAGGATGAGGACCCTGAGGCATGATACTGAGGATGGATCTCTGCCAGGAAAGGCAGAAGAGAAACACTGGAAATACAGGTCATGGTCACCAAAGCCCAAGCCCATCAACTGCACAACTTTGTCTAAGGAAGTCTTAGTGTCTCTCTCTCTACCCCTGCCTCCTTCCCTGTTCCTCTTTCTCTCTTCTTTTTAAATAAATGGACTTTTGAAATAAATGGACTTAATCCCTGTCTATCAAAATGAGAAAAATCACAACTCATCCCATATTCCACAGATAAAATAAAATGGAGGAATTTCTGGTAAAGAAAATCTAATGTCAGAGAAAATAGGCAAGTGCTAAAGTGTTCCAACTTGAACTGACTGATACATTTCTATATGGTGACCAAAAAAATTGACCCATATTCCAGGACTTTACTCATATCTCAGAATCAGAATAATTTTGAGTAAAGAAGAGAATGAAGGTGTAGAATTACATATGATTAGAAGAAATGCTGTAATATGTGTTATTTATATGTATTTCCATTGACCCAAGGTTTATTTGGGAGTGAAAAGTAAACAAGCAGTATTCTTTGCATTTTGGACAAAAAAGAAAGCCAATACCTAGCATCACTACCTGACAACTGACTGTATCTGGAAATAGAAACAAATTTGAGGAAGTGAGACCCAAGGCTAAAAGATCCATTTCCTAGTTAGACATGGATTTCTAAACATTTAGTCTTATTATTCCAAATAACCAGAACCAAGTTCTGCCCTGGGATATACGGATGTGGATTCCAATGTCAGCTTGTGTCTACATGTAGGTTCAGGTTTTAACCTTTTGAAGGCTTTATCAAAAGCATCTTTAACATGCTGATATAGGCTCCCCCAAATAATGGTTGTTTCCACTTAGTGACCCATTTCGAAGGCTCTTTTAACAACATGTTCCCAAGTGCCGAGAAGGAGTTCTACATCAAGGTATAATTACATGGAATGGGTCACATTTATAAAATAAACTTCTTTCTGTAAACAATTTCTAGCACACTAAATGCCCAATTAAAACGGAAGGTATTTTGCAGCTTGACAAAGCGGGAAAACTATCCGCTGAAGCCATATCATTTAATGGAAAGTGGCTCAGAATCCTTTATCATCTGTACAGCACTTTATAAGTTGTTTTCCTTTTAATGCTACATTATTTGAGTCAAAAATATAAGTAGGAAACTTACCCAAGTTCTCTGATCAGGCAGTTGGAACTGGGAGCAAAATTGAAACAAAAACAAAAAATTACTTCTGTATCAGTATCTTTATTGCAATCTATCCTTTGAGAAATTAACATTTATACGGACTTTGTAATTTCTGCTTATCATGTAACTGTACCTTGAGTAAAGGCTTTGGAAATGAAACTTAAATGTTTTTATAACACTGCTGGATTTCCTCTATTTACCTAAATTAAATTTGAGAATCAAGGTTATAAACCAGACTGTTCTTTCTTCCAAGAAAGCCAAACACTACCTACTACCACCAAATCTTAAATAGCAAAGTAGATACTTCCTTATTTGTTTTTACTCACTGTAAAACAAGATTCCTAAACTTTAATAAATAAAACTTAAGCAATTTCCTGAAAAAAAATCTAGTCTCTTGCATTTTTATAATGTTAATAAGAAAGAAAATAAGATATTTACTCGAACGTGAATTATTAAGTAACAACAAGGTAATGTGCTGGGAAATGCACTGCCTGACTTTTACAAGCATGGGACTCAGACCATTAGCAGTCAGAACACATAAGGATATTAATTAAAAGTTACCTATGTCAACTTATGACAAGAATCACTTGGGAAAACTTCAGTGAGCCGGGAGCTCTTCCAGGAAACACAAACGTTATATCCTTAAAGTTATCATTTTGCTTGGGTAAAGGAGCTATATCTTGCTTTTATAAGTTATGGTGTCTTTATTAAGGAAGATACATAGTTTTTTAAGGGTAAAAGATTTATTGCAGAGGAAATCTAACAATAAGAAACACTTTGTCAAAAGCAAAATAGAAGAAGGGCAAAAGACTTAAGTAATTTTCACATCAATATATAAAAGATAACTTGGAAAAAGACTAACTTTTTCCCAGTTCTATGGGATACAGTAACAGGGTAGTCAGACACTTTAAAAAGAAGAGAATAAAAATGAAGGCATAAAGGACAGAAACAGAGTTTCTGTTGCAGATATACACAAAGCCAAACATCTGGAAATAAAATGTATTAATAACCAAAAATATATTTAAAATATAGGCAAATCAAGGACTAGCCAGTTTTACAGTAACACAATTACCAAATGATTTCTATGGCAATTTGAAAAAGCTAGCAATGTAAATGCCAAGTACCTAAAACACAAAGTAGCCAATGAAATGCACTTTCTAGAGATCGCACAATAATCCCATCCCTTCCATCTCACCTACTTGTGGCTGTCATTCTTTTTCAAAATTATAATCTAGACTAAGACTCCCCAAACAATTTTCAACCACATTTCTAGGAAGAACGTCTATAGTACATATTTGTACCTTACATTTAACTTATTTCTAAAAGAAAAACAGAAATATAAATAGTCCTCTAGTGGCCTGACACAGCAAGCATACTTCTTAGAATGAAGTGAGTGAGGAATTTAGACCCTGAAAATGAAAACAAAAAACAAAACAAAACAAAATAGCAATTATCTTTTAATTTTGGTGTATGTGTTCTTATATCTTACAGACATTTTTGACAAGATTTTTAAAAATATGTATTATTATTCCAAAAGTCAGTGAGATGGCCTAATAATCTTTTAATAAAATTCAATAAAATATCAATATCGAATTAAAATATCTATTGAGGTGTTCACCTTTCATTGATTAGGAATTGTGCCCTGGGGAGGAATATGCTGGGTAGAATACAAAGACATACAAAAGTTATAAAATCAGACTTGCCCAGAGAATACCCCTACCAAGAATTTTTATATATATATATATATATATATATATATATATATATATATATTTCTATGTTTTCTCTAAAGCATTAAGAGTATGTGTTCCCCGTGAGGCACCTGGGTGGCTCAGTTGATTAAGCATCCGACTTTGGCTCAGGTCATCTCACGGCTCATGACTTTGAGCCCCGCGTCAGGCTCTGTGCTGACAGTGCAGAGCCTGCTTGGAATTCTCTCTCTCTCCCTCTCTCTCTGCTTCTCCCTTACTCATACATGATGATGATATTATTATTATTACCCTGAGAAATACATAGGGAAAGCATTATTCTCATTTGGAAGACAAACATACAGAAGCCCCAGAGGGACCATGTGATTTGCTCCAGTGTACTTTAAATTGGAAAATGAAGTAATGAATAGTCTTCCCCGAGCATTTATTTAGCTATAAAACAAAGGCAAGGCCTGGGAGCAGAGGCAAAGCCTTCCATTTTGGCCTTCTGCTCTGTGCCACCCTTACTGCTGCCCAATGAGGCAGTACCAAGAACACATTAAGCATCTTTCCAAGTACTTCTAGACACATCAGAGCTCCCCTAAAGAAAGTGGGCTCAGGGGATGGCAAGAGGTCATTTTACTAACGGTTCTTTACATTCGAAATGGGATACTTCCGCATTCACTAATAATGAGAGCTTTTCCTCATTTAGGTCCTTCCACTTGCCAGGCACGATGTGTACCATGTTATGTACATTAACACGAACCCATACAGCCACCCAGGTAAAGCTGGTAGGGTGTGCCCATTACGCGGATAGAGAGGCTCAGAGAGATGAACTGCGTTGGTCCAAACCTGAGCGTTTTTGCTAATAAGCAGCCACAAAGCAGTCATTTTTGCCCCCAAATCCTGGCAGGTTGTCTTTGTTTTGTTTGCGTTCATTTATGGGAAAGGAGATCTTGAGGCTAGGATGGAGTTGATAGAGTACTAGAAAGAACAGAAGAATTCTGCTGAAACTTCAGGACATTTGAGGCAGATTTTCTGAAAGAGCAGACTATTTGGTCTGAAGGCTTGATTAAAATAGGGTGACCCAAGCTTCTCCCAGGTGACAGTCTTTATTCCACCTGTAGCCCAGTGATATACGGCCATTACACATGAAAACAGCTACAATGTCTATAAAAATAATAAAATATTTCTGTAGTAGTTGGTAAACAGCCTCTGCTCCAAGAACCCTGCCTTGCCCCCCTACCGTCCTGGCCTCATCTCAAAAGACCCTTCAGACAGCCCGCCAGCCAACAGCTGCATCATTAACATTGGTGCAGCAAGGACTTCCAAGATCCTGCTCCAGAATTCCAGGAGTCCATTTCGATTGGTCAGTATTCATGACATATGAGGTGTTAAATATATTGACTATCACTCATTGGTCCTGTTCTAATAGCAGCAATAGGCAGTCACTTCCACCAAGACTTGACATTCTGGAAACACACACTGCCACTGTGCTCCTACAGGCATGTTTGCGAGGCTCTGAGGGAACGACTGCTGTTCTCCAAGTATTGCACATACATCTCATCATTTGTGATCCTTCACTCACTTTGGAAATAATAAAAGATAGCACATTTTCTTATATTATGTGATTAAAATATGCACATACTGTAACACTTGTATGCACATGTAGAGCTATTGGTAGGCAAAATTGTTCATCTTATGAACTAGGAAATTTACTTTGGCGAGTTAAAAATCTGAATTTCAGAGAGAATAGGGACTTTACACCCAACTCCTTCATCCTACAGATAAGGAACTAAGAGCCAGATAGACTGTCACTGAAGGACCCTGAATCCCATCTTTTTTCCATCCGTTACACCATGTACCCATAGCACTTCATTTTGAAGTGATTAGTTACTAAATTTTAAAGATAATTAGAATATGAAAACAATTTGATTCTTATAACTAAACATATATAACTATAATATCCCTGTGAGCATTTAGTTATACTCAGAAAGTAACTATCAAAAAGATACACTTTTCGTACAATATCTGACACAAAATGCATGCAATGTTCATCTTCCTCAGCCCATGAGGCCTAAAAGTGCAATTTAAATCAAGCTAAATGTAAAATATAAATACCTGATAAACATTTATTATTTTATAACTCTTTTCTTTTCCATAAGGCAATTATAAAAATCATATCATTCCTTAGCCTTTCCACATAAAATGAATAGTGACTGGAATATTTCTAACCCTTTTACTACTAAATCATGAATTTCCTCACTTTGAAATAGAGAGAATTTTTGAACAATGATAGGTTTCTCCAGCTAACCAGAAGATGGTACTTCAGTTCTCATACTCTGTTATTCGGGACGTTGGGAAAGTACTTGAAAAATTGACGAAAAGGTAGCAGAGGGGGAGGGGGTTAGAAGGCCAGGGAGAGTCACATTCCAAGATAATTTAATTACCTCACAACTTTCTATAAGACATCTTGCATAAAATTCCACCAGTTTTATTAGAGGAGCACAATTTTTAGTTTGAATATGTTGAAACGCAATAAATTAGTTCACTGATTTTAAGCATTTTCATAAAAATTTTGCTTACCATCTATAAAGACCAGAGCTTATAACCTTTAAAATCAGAAATAAGGAAAACAAAATATCAGGTTAAAAAAAAAAAAAAAACTTTTAAGATGTTTGTATATTTGTTCTTTCAATACAATTCTCTACATTTTGATTGATAGGTAAACCAGTTTTTAAAAATAACCAAATACGTAAGGAGATAGAAATGAGCCAATTAGATGGCACTGCTTTGTATTCTTCTTGTGATGAGAAACTGTATATATTTTGATAAATGGACACAGCCCCATTCAGCAAATAGCTCTGTGTATTGTGGTAAATTCTTGTGCAATTACAGAACTTCGCTGGAATGCCCAGTGGTCTCTAGATAAATTCCTTCACCCTCTATGGTAACAACTTGTCAGGTAGACTCATTTCCTGTTTTTTATCTAAGCACTAAAGGACTTCAAGGACCTTCATGAGTTTGGGACGAGTCACAGTCTGACCCATCTCTTATTATCAGTAATTTTTAAACACACACACAAAAAAACTTCAATATTTATTTTCTTAACTGAATTTTGTTCACTCCAAAATATACTTTGGATCGGTAAGTAGTTAGCAGGAGACAATAATTTTACACCCCAAAACATGTTATTTTTCCACATATATTAATTTTTTTCTTTAAAGAGTTTGGGTTTTAATTCTGCTAGAATTTCCTGTGTTCTTCCACACCAGCGTCATAGGAAATCCTAATGTTCTCAAGATTTCTTTCATTTCATTGCACCTGCTTTTCAGGATCAACAAGTTAGTTTACAAGCTTGAAGTCTCAAATTCAAAATACTTACTTGTGGGTGAAATAAGAATCCTGGCGAAGGTCTCAAGTATTTCTCTTTTAAAGCTTCAAGTGGGTCAGTTAGTTTTCTTTTCTCTACTCTGAAAGGTTAAAATTAGTTTTTGAAGATGAATCAGTCTCATATATCAGTCGCTACATAATTACTGACATTTAAACAGCTAACAATAAAACAAATGGTAGATTTCTGGGAAGCACACTAATAAAAATATAAAGACATCTGTTCAGCTCTTGAAGAATACTCATGGCACTTCTAGGCGCTCATAGAAAGAAGGTCCTATTCACAATGGTAAAATCCTATTGGGTGACTAGTAACAATAATAATGAGGAAATATAAAAACTGAAGAGTCATGAAACCGGAGGCTTGGTTAGAGATTTGTACCTTTCCATTTCAAATGCAGACAAGAAGGCTTGATGATTTTGAAATCATGAGGACAGAGCTCATTCTGAAAATTAAAGTCATTTTCTGCCAAGAAAGTGTTCGCCTAGACATTCATTATATTTCCCCCATACTTGCCAATGAGGGCAGGAGAGTTTCTAAGCACCTATGCATTCTGCTCCCGTCTCTTTGAGGTCCCTCTTTTGGATGCCGCTGCTGATAAACAGGGCAGGCAAAAAGGGGTGGAGGGAAAAGGAAGAGGAACTTTTTGAAGATAGAGAAATATAAAAATTATCGGCATATCCCTTCTGCTTTCTAAATGTTTGTTATTCTATTTTCTATTAAGTATGCAGGAAGTGACATCATGGATTAAATTAATTTCTTTTACCAACTGTTGATACATTTCTTTTCAAGAACCGTTGAATAAGCATGTTTCTAAAATAGAATCAAAATTAATAAAAACAGCTACCACTTCTTGAAAGTTTATAGATGCTATGTTTTGCATACACTATGTCACTTACTGAAACAGGTCCTCTTATACCCATTTTATGAATAAAAAAAAAAAAAAGAACAACTCTAAGACATGGGAAAGCTGAGATTTCAACTCAGGTCTTGCACTAAAACTGGTGTTTAGGCATTTCATGACTTGGGTAGAATGACAGGCCGAGGTCCCTTATTCGGATTGAAACACCAGGGAGAAGACTGAGTTTTGAGTAAGCAAGGGGCAGAGAGGGTTAGGATATGATGGAGAAGAGTGTAATGGGTGTGCGGAGGAATTGGAAACCCATTGCCACTGGGAGGGTCTGAGAAAAAAAAAAAAAAAGTCTAAGGGA